GCTCAATGCCCAGAAAGCCTTCACAGGCATTGAGGATCCAGTGACCAAGCGAAGGCTGTCTGTGGGGGAAGCTGTTCAGAGGGGATGGATGACCAAAGAGAGTGCTTTCCCCTACCTGGAAGTCCAGCATCTAACTGGAGGGCTCATCGATCCTAAGAAAACTGGTCGCATCCCTGTGCTGGAAGCTGCCCAGACAGGGATGATAACGGGTGACCTGGCCAAGAGGCTCCAGGATGACTCCAACTATGAGAAAGACCTCATTGACCCTGCTACTAAGGAGAAGATAAATTACAAGGAGGCCATGGCTCTCTGCCAGAAGGATTCGCTAAGCAGCTTCCTGCTGCTCCCAGTCACGTTGGAGGTATATCAGCGGTACCACCAGGCGAGCCGCTCCCCCAGGCTCTCACGGTTCAGGCATTGAGTGGATTTCAGCACGTACTGGATCTGGTTCCTTCAGGAGTTCATCCCTTCAAAACACTTCTCCCCACAGAGGCAGCAGCAATCACAGGAATGGAGCATCTAGCATTTAGGGCTGCATACTCTTCTACCTTAGCTATTTCTGCTTCCCGACGCAGCTTGGTTGTGCGAGGAAGAAAACGTGATCGTGAGCATGTAAGGACCTGACTCATGGAGGTCCCTGCAGTCCCCTGGCTGCTGCTGTGACAGCAAAGGGGGGTTGATCGCGAGAACTCCGCTGGGAGTAGGTTAAACGTGGTTATGCACAGAAAGTGGGAGAGAGCCAGTGTGTTTTCAAGTTGGGTTATTCTTCTTCTGCATGCAATAAACATAGAAAGTGCATCTCTGTGGCTGTGTTGTCTCTGCAGGCTGAGGCTGCAAAGTGACTGAAGGCATGGGTAGTCCTCCCCCTGTGCAATCCTATGTCCTGCAGCCAAATCTACAGAGGGTTTTCAAACTCTCCCCCTGATCTCACAGCACTGAACCCCATAAATTTATTTCTGCATGTGAGTCCCTATTTTTAAAGATTTTCTAATATTTGTCTTTAAAACTGAAAACCAAGGGTACTTTGCTCCCTCATCATTTGGATGCTTCTGAAAAAGGGACTTGGTCACCAAAGGGTGCAGTTCCATGTCAGGTTTGATCCAGTCTAAGTGCAGACAACTACCAAACGGAGCCGCCCCCTGCCCCCTCCAGCTGCCGGCCCATGGCATCTCTCTGGCTGCAGACCAGTGATGGTAGTGGCTGTACAATGACTTGGGTCACTTCACTGAGCTGCTGGCAGTGGAAGCCAAGGCCAAAGTAAAACCAAACCAAACTCAGACCTGGTGAAGTAGATGATTTTGAAGGCTTGACCTGTACCTGTACAGAAGCAGATCTGTTGCAGGGGAAGGGATGACCTTCAGTAGAAGATGGATGATGTTTACAGTCAACAGTCATGTGAAACTGCTTTCTACAGCCTTTGGCCTTAGCTGCAGGATCCACCCAGCAGTACCTGAAAATCCGCACTTGCTATTTGTTTAGGCAAGGTTTCACTCCTTTGTTTCACTTCCAGTGCTCAGTCCTTGCTGAAATAAGCAAGTCCTAACTCCCACATGTCCCTGTTGAGATATGAGATGAAATGCTCTTCCCTAGTCTCTACCCCATTCTGGAGAGGCCCCTGGATTTGTGGGTGAGAAAAAAATTACTTTCTATTGACATGAGCTGCTCTTCCCCTTCTCTTAAGGGCTCTTCTAGCTGCTGCTGCTTAGGAGATCCAGCAACCCAAAAATAATCCGTAAGGGATTTTCTCCCTGTCTCCCCATCAATAGAGGGAAACTTGTTGGTTTACAATGGTAAAAGTTTCACACACCCTAGAGCATCCGTTCCCAGTCTGTTTCCTCTTGCCCACTGCTGGTACATGGGGCACTGTGCATCTCCCTCCTTCTTCCCCAGCTGATGTGGACCAGGAGACACATGAGGAGAGAAACTCCCTGCCTCCTGCCAGGGCAAACCCAAAGGCCCTTGGAGCACAGGAGCCCAGCCAGGTGAGAATCGCATCCCAGTGCCGTCAAGGAGCCCTGGACCAGCTGCAGTTCCCAGCAGTTCTTGGATCCCAGGTCTTCAAAACTGCTGGGAGCAGCCTTGCTGAGCTTGGCTTTGCCCCTCTTGGCTGGCTGAAGGCAGGAAGCATCCATCAGCAGTGGGGCCATTGCCCTTTCTGCAGCTTGGTTCTGCAGGACGGGTGAGTTTGCTGTCAGCCTTCTCTGTGGGGCAGGGTGTGGGGCTGCCTTCCTCAAGGCTGCTCCCCTTATGAATTAGATAAAACCGAGAATGTTTTTAAAGGAGTATCATGGTCATGTGGTGACTCTTTTCTGAAGTGCTGCTTAAGTAGTTTTGGGGAATGCTGTGTGCCTAAGGGATTTGGAGTTCTGGTAATTAGGCAGTCAGCTAATCATTTTGGATTAAGTGCTCCTAACTGCATGGGTGAAGGTGTTAAGAGATGATTAGGCATCTAGCATTCTAGCTGGCTCAGCAGTGTCCCTTGAAGGCTGGCCTGCCTTTTGTTTCTGAAAAAAAAACCACCACCAAACCACTAAAAATCCTTTGCTGCCAAGTGGTCCTCATCTGCAGAAAACAGCTCACATCATGTCCTCCTGATGTGTCCACAGGAAGCACCATGCAGCTGTAGGGCTTCCCTAGGGCACAGATGGCTGACAGGGCGGTGAGTTGCTCAGGAGGAGCCAGGCAGTGCTTTCCTCCCTTCTCAGGCATGGAGCAATAGGGCTGCATTGTGGCTTCCCCAGAGCAGTTGTTTTGACACAGCTGTTGTCAGTTCCCTTTGGAGGCAGTGGGGTTGGGTCATAAATTTTTGAAATTCAGACTGTTTCTTCATTTTGTCAGGCTCGATGCAGTATTTTTATTTATGTTTCTGGACTGGATGAATGTCCTTGGTATTTATTTCTTAGTGCAGATCTTCAGGAAAAACAAACCAAAACAAAACCCCAACAACAAACTCTTCTGCAAACAGCTTGGTACAACACGAGCATTTATTTGCAAGGAGCAAACAAAGGAGCATTGTCTGTACAAACTGAATTGACTTTAAAACATGTATGCAAACACAGGGAAATTATTCCCATAGCAGAATTCATCCACATCTCACAAGCGTGCCCTTGCAAGCTGGGTGTTGTCATACAAAGGACATGAGGTGCTGCAGGAGCACAGCAGGACTTCAATTTTGCAGCCACGCAGCTGCCTGCTCTGCCCTGCTCAATCAGAAAATCCTCCCCAGCATGAGCAAGTCAGCTTTTTCCAGGCAGCTTCAACAGCTTTCAACAGCTTCAACAGCAAAGCAACTCCCACTCACCCCAAAAACCCTAATTTGTGCAAATTGCAAAGGTGAGTGAGCCTTTCGGGCCCTGGCAGCTTCTAACACCTGCAGGGGAAGCACAGCCAGGTGGTGTGGCAGGGCCCAGAGGGAGCCAAGCAACAGGTCCCAGGGTTTCACTGTCACTGCTGCTGTTGCATCAAAAAGTCTTTTTGATGTCAGGAATTAAGAAGAGCCATTTACTACCTTTCATTGTGTGGGGAGAAGGAATGAGTGATGGAGGAAGCCAAAGGGCAACAGAGCTTGGCTTTAGACAGGCAGGTCTTGGGCTAAGCAGGTCTTTTTTCATGGAAATTCTAAAGATTTCTCTCTGCTGTGCATGTTCTCTGGTGTCTAGAAGGTGGAGAGGGAGGTTTGTGCTACATTTGCATGTGCAGCCGCCTCTCACCTCTACTGCATTGCTTATCTGTTGTGAGACTCCAGGAATGTGATAGCTTTGGAGAGTTGTCAGGTTGTGCTGAAATCAGGCCTTAGGATTGCAGCTATTAGGAGGGCACATGTGTGCGCATGCCTGAAAAATGCAAGTGTGGAAATTTGGCTTCCCTAAGTTAAAAATCTGTCTTTTGAGCATTTATATAAGTAGAACATAACTCTGAACTGGTTTGTGGCAACCTCTAATGGAAGGCAAGACCACCCTACCATACCGAGACTGCACTGGGCCGCATAACCACCAACCCCTCATTCCACAACAGAATCGAGAGCACACCTCTGCATCTGCCAAGGATTTGGGCTGGAACGGACAACAGAGAGAGTGCAGGAGATGATGAAGGGAGAAGAGCTTTATGGAAAAAAAGGACCAGCCAGACCATCCTGCTGCACTAGCTCAATGGGCCATGCCAAACAATAAACACTGAGGTTTCTGAACAAATTACAAGCCTTTATTTTTTTCTGTACTGAAAGGAAAAAAAATGAAGACGTCAAAACCACTCCGAAAGTTAGTGACAATTCTTCAAACATTTGGACAGCAAAAACATTTCCAAGCCAATGAAGAGAAGGAAACAGCAGTACCTCTGCACTGATGATGGAAAGCCAGTGTTTTAGCTGTAACTGTTTCCAGTCATATGCACAAGTGCTTTATGCTAACTGCATCTTTTGGCTCCTTGGTCTCAGCTAAGGTACAAACTAATACATCCGATAGTGCTCTTCAGCTTGTGAAACAGCAGGATGTCAGCTCTGTCAAACAGCTTAGGTTAAACAACTTGTCTAGTGATGACAACCCCAGTCTTTGGGAACAGCAACAAAAAGCTGAGTGGAGGAGTTCTCCCCTAGCTGATGTGGAGCTCCAGCATGCCCTGGCATCAGAAACTGCCACCCAAAGACTTATGCATGCTCCAGTGCTGGAGAGACAGAAATCACTGTATGTCACCTTAGCTTGCTGACTAATGCAAGGACAAAGCTCTGAAAGATGCTTCCTCACCTACATTTCAGTGTTTTATTATGCTGATAAATATTCCCCACCCTTTTGTACATGAACTCTTCAAAACAGCTCTACTGGCAGTAACCAAGCCAAAACCTTCCCCCAGCAACAGGCTGAGAGTCTCGCAATGCAAGAATGTCCCCCTTCAGGCTTCTCAGGAGAGGTGAGACCCTGGGTCCCAGCCAGCCCCCTGCTAAGTACCCAAAACTAGATCTGCACTGCCACCAGGAGGTGCAAGTGTATGGGGAGAGCTGTGTCTTCTCATTTGCACTGTCTCTGCGGCGCAAGGTGCTGTTCAGGGTTTCGAGAGCTTCTCCGGAAGTACTGGTGGTCGAGGGCTGCCTTGGCAGAGATGTGCCTGCTGGGGTCATACAGGAGCAATTGCTGCCAAGAGAAAAACCCAGCAGATTCAGGATTTTAGAAACTAAATGATTGATTGCACCTGCATGTGGCTAGGCCCTGCCTTTTCCCCTCTCTGGGCTTCAGGAGTAATCCACAGCTAAAGTTACTATGAGGATTATGCTACAGGGGTTTTTTGACCCTCAGTGCAGTGGTTTCTTAGAAGAATCCACAATGACAGCCATGCTCCAGAGCCAAGGCTGAGTCCTATTCGATGATTCAGTGTTTCTACAATGGCAGAGATGAGCATTAGAGTCAGATGAACTAACACACTTCCAGGTAGATCAGTCCCAAATATTCCTATTCTTTGCCCAGTTTGAGAAGGTCCTGTGTGTCTCTGGGTCTTGTTGTGAGCCCTCACTCACCACCAGTAAGTCTCTACCATCTTGATCTAAGTTGGGAACAATTTCCTTCATCTCCTTCCTTGCCCACTGGGGAAAGTCTTCCTTGTAATCACGCAGCTGGGTCACCCCAGGCCAGGTCACCTCAGTGGGTGTGCCCAGGATACGAAAGATCCGGAAGAGCTGATCAATCTCAGAGTCCCCTGGAAACAGGGCCTTCTTGGTCACCTGGGGAAAAAAAAGGTCAGTTCCCACCTTCCCATCACCTGTGTGCCTTATTTCCCTCTGCAATCCACCCTTCGTCCCAGCAGATGCAAACAGCACAGACCAGGGCAGTTCCAATGCAGTGATTCTGCCAGGCAGTGGTTGAGAAATTCACAGATATCTGCTTGTGTTTAGCTTCTCTCCATGGATCCATGTTCCCCTGAGGCTGTCCTCCTTCAGTCCCTTATCCCTTATCCCTTTTTGTCTCCAGTTTCCTACCATAGTTGCAGGATAGCTCCCTGCCTGTCTACATTCCCAGGCTCTGCTGATCTGCAGCTCGGGGGCTTTGGGAGCTGGGGATAGTGCTGTTACACTGCAGGGTTAACAAGAGCTCTTCAAAATGGCGTATGGACCCCTAGGCGCTCCACTCTGCCATGCTATGAGAGTGCTAGTTCTCTGCAGCCACTGAGGGGGCATCTGCAAGAGAGTCATCTTCTCCCAGCATAAAAATGCTGCAGCAATAAGATTGAAGTTACCCCTTTCACAAGGAGAGGCATCACATTCCCGTACACTGGGAACTGCTGCGGGTCTACTGAGGCTTCTTTGCCTTCTGCCAGGCCCCAGAGGGTGGTAGATTTTCTTTTGAGCCCACAGCTAAGGATCAGCTAACACTCAGGGTGGGCTTCTCATCATACACACCCCAGCACAGGGTGGGACTACAGTATCAGATATTCTGTGTCCTGGTCCTCCTTCCCCACTTCCCACTGCAGTGGTGTCCTCCTAGCTCATTAAAGAGACTATTTAAACCCATTCTACCATTTCTGCAAAAATGCAGCCAATGCTCCAGATATCCACAGCAGTTGAATAGTGTTTACACCCCAGCAGTATTTCAGGAGCTCGATACCACAGAGTCACCACCTGGTAAAGAAGAAACAAACAAGCTTTGTTTGTGAAAAGAGAGGCATGGGCTTCTCTCCTCTCAGCTGTAATGCAGTGATGGTACAAATCATACAGAATCACAGAAGCATTAAGGTTGGAAGACACCTCTAAGGTCACTAAGTCCAACCGTCAACCTAACACCGCCGTGCCCACAAAACCATGTCCTGAAGTGCCATGTCCACAGGCTTCTTGAACACCTCCAGGGATGGTGACTCCAATCAGGGTGTGACACGGCCATGCTCAGTTAACAGCCACCTTAGTGACAGCAAGATTGGGATTAACAGATCATCTTCAATGGGATACTCTGCAACAAATAAATATACCCTAAGTGGAGAACATGGGAACCCAGCTTGCAGGCAGGCTAGGGTAAAAACAGTGAACTTTATGGGGGCATGAGGTAACCCCTTAGCTGTGGATTAGGTTAAGGGCACATGCCTGGGTGCAGTTGTGCCTCAGCTATGGATGAGTAACTTGCGCTGCTGCTGCTGTTGTTCACCCACTACGGATTGTGTATCCCACTCTCAGGTAGCAGGGAGCCTCAACAATACCTCATGAGTGTATGCACGCAGGGGGATACCAAAAGCTCTTGCCAGTCCAAAATCAGCAAGCTTGATTGCTCCTGCTTCATTAATGAGCAAATTCTGTGGTTTCAAGTCCCTGTGGATGACTCTGTGCAAGTGGCAAAAGTTCACACTCTGCAGCAGCTGGAAAAGGTAGTTCTAAGGAGAGAAGAGATTTCAGACAAGGCCATCATGAAACCACTTTGAAGGCCAGATTGTGTGAACCAACACACTTTGGCTCATTTAACCCAATGGGAAAAAAGACCTTGCAAAAATGCAGCAGATCTGAGAGGCTGAACGACTCCAGCCCAGAATGAATCTTTTCTAGATGTGCTCAGTAAGAGCAGTTCAGTGCTGGCTCTGCCCAGCAGAAGGCAGCAAGGACACACACTCTCTGCCCTCTCTATCAGCACTCCTTCCACACTGTACCTTCACCAAGCTTGGAGGAAGCAATCCAGTTCCAAATGAGTCTATGTATTTCTTCAGGTCTTGATTCAGATACTCAAACACCAGACAGAGCTTCTTCTGGCTGTGTACAACATCCAGGAGTCTGCAAAAGAAGTGTAAGTGCTCCCTTCAGTACCTTTGTATGGGAATCCCTGCTATGCAGGGGTGTTAGCCTCTTACCAGAGTGTGGGAGAAGACCTTCTCCAGACTTTTGCCCAAACATACCCAAAGGTTCCTCCTTCCACAGATACCTCTGCTCTGTGAGTCTTTGGAGCAGAGAGAGGCAGGTATAAAAGCAGCATCTCGTATGGGGCAGCACAAGCTTGGACCAGCCTGTGTGGCTGGAGTAAAGCAGCAGCACTGTGGACTATTGCTGCAAACCAGGGAAGTTCAAGTGATATTCCTGTTGATTTTACTCCTTCCAGGAAAGGACTGGAAGGTCCCGCTTGCTGCCTGTGCCCAGAGCTCCTTGTGGGGATGAGCAGGAGCTCATCAATGTGGTGGTGAGGAGGGTTCATCCAGGTCTTACCTGACTATGTTGGGGTGCTTCAGCTCCTTCAGCAGTGAGATTTCTCGGATTGCGGTGCTGGGGACACCCTCTGTCTCCCTGCAGCAAAGACAGGCTGTACAGCACCCTGTCCCCTAGTGGGGTCCCACAGCCCATCAGGGTCCTGTGTCCCTTCTCCCTTCCAGTGTACCCCATTGCCTGCCTGGGGAGGGTCTCTCACACTAGGCACCCTGAATTTGGGATGGTGCTGTGCATGGGGTGGCCTGGGATGAGGCAGAGGGAAATGGAGCTGCGGGGAAGGAGAGAGAGGGGGTGACCTAGACAATGCAGGCTGTGGGGTAGATCTTGTTTGGGAGCATCTTGGGGCACACTAGGAGAAGCAATGGTTTAAATGTCCAAGCCTCACATTTTGGAAGCAGGGAGGGGCGTGAAAGCTCTTTGCCCTTCAGGCAGCTGTCTCCACCATCCCGAGGGACTGCCATGGGGTGCAGTCCCACCACCATGGCCCCTGGTCCACACTGACACCCCTCATCGTGGAGACATCCCAGGGTCAACCCAGGGAAACAGTAGTAAGCTTTTATCTGCTCAGTCCCCACCCTGGGCAGGTTTAAATTGGCTGTAATGGGAAGCTGAGCCTCACCAGGCCCTAGCACCACACCCCTGAGGAAGAGGCCATCTCCTAAAATGGCGGCTAATTCCCCCTGTCCTGGGCCATGGTGCCAAGGCCAAGCAGCCAGGTCAGGCCCTAGCTGTTTGCATGAGACAATAAAGACATTGTTTTCCCTTATGCCAGGATTTTTTGAGACTCTTGTGCCATTTTGGACAGTGGGCTGGGCTCAGAGCCCTCCTGCTTACTCTCATGATGAAGCTGGGGCATTGCTGGGCTCAGCTTGTGGCCATCTCCCCCCTGATGGCACTGCCAGCCCCAAAGGAGCCATTCGCCTTCCTCACCCCCCTCTCGCCTTGGCACCCTATTACCACTGTGCTGAGGAGGCAGCCGGCCTGGCGCCATGGCGGGGTTTTAGGTTGGCACTGTGAGGGGCTGGGCCATGGCAGCTGCAGGGCTGGCGCTTTGCCCCACTCACACATGCAAGCGGATCTTCTTAAGGGCCACCAGCTGCCCCGTGCACTTGTTGCGAGCCTTGTACACCACGCCGTAGGTGCCCTCCCCAATCTTCTCCATTTTCTGAAATGCCTCCTGAAAGGGGTCCATGGTGCTGCCTCAGCTTTGCAATGGCAGCAGATGTGGCTGGTGCTGCTTTCTGAGGGAAAAAGAAAAAAACGAAGGGGAAAAAAACCCCAAATGTGTAAAAGGTGTTTGCCCTCCCCGTGTGCCCTCTGAGCTGCTTTTGGGACCTAGGTCCCTCCTTGCTGCTCCCACAGCACAGAGACCCACCTTGAACTGGGGCAGCTGAGGGAAGGACAGGGCTGCCTGGGCACGCTCACAGGTGTCTGGGGGTGTATCTGGGGTGTCTGGGAAGACCTAAAGAGCCAAAAACACTGTGGACTGCCCAGGACAGGCTTTACTTGTGACCAAGGTTGTGGAGTGTGTTGGCTAAAGCAAAAATTGAAGAAAAATAGATTTGAAGAGGCACTTTGGGCCTGTGGGACAGGCAGCAGAGACTGCACAGGGCCAGGGGAAGCTCTGCAGATCCATTTGTACAGTGTCTGGCATCAAGGGGATGCAGTGTGTAATTAGGGTGGACATGTGTCCCTGGGACACACTCAGGTCAAACACATGACAGAAATGTCTTTTTTTTCTTTCTTTCCTTTTTTTTTTTTTTTTTTTTGCACAATTGTTCCTTGAAACTCCCCACCGTGCGCTGTGTTGCTTGGTCAGCCTTTTGGAAAATGTCCTTGGCAAGGGGCATAATCATTGACTTGACAGCTGACAGAGGACAAGATTAAAAAAATATGCATCACAGTACCAGGAAAGGTAGAGCCACAGGCATTGTCCTTTGGAGGGCACACTGGCTCCATGTCCCTGGCTGAGCATAGCGAGACATGACAGCCCACAGTGCAGACTCCAAATTTTAGGTGACATAAAAAGGAATAATTTAGACCATTACTGAGCCACCAGCTCAAAATCCTTTTAAAAGTGGTCCTGATTTTGCCAGTTTGAAAGAACCAAAGTGTGGTTGCTCTGTGGCTGAAGAGGGATCCGCATTACCACAGCAAACGCTCTCTGGCAAACTTGGCCATTTGGATAAAATTTCAGCACAGGGAGGAAGGTAGGAGAACAGACAGGCAATGGGGTGTAAACATAAACGCATTGTGACAGACTCATTGCTGTCTCTTACAAAACCAGGTGA